GAGAAGTGCTACATGTACATAAATTTATACATAATGGTGTCCATAATTACACATGGCACTGAATCCAACCATTAATTCAAATCTCACACTTTCACATCAACAACAGGATTTTGTCCACATCACATTATAGACACTACTATGTACATATATTATGTACATGTAAACTTTTCCTTTATCATGTGGGTGGGGCCATTCCTATTTCATGCTTTGAGGGGGCAGATTCCGGGCCGCTAGACTGGACATTCGGCCTGGCCCCGGGCTGCATCATGATATATGAAAACGGACTGTTCTAGGCCCAAGTGTTAAGCCCATGAACAGTAGCCTGTCCTTGTGGGCCTCTACTAAGAAAATAGAAGAGCAAATTAGGCCATTCATGTATTTATTTTTTAAACTTCAAATGAGATATTTTATTAAGTAATTCTTAAATCAGGATTCAAAAAATACATTTGTAAATTAGATATATAGAAAAATGGGAAAAATTCAAAAGTTAAGTGTTAACTTTGACACAAGTCAATTTTCAGGTATCAAGTTTCAAAATACAAAATTCAGGTATTTATTTATTAATTTAAAATAGTTTTATCAATTAATTATTAAATAAATTTATTAAATATTTAATTCTAATATAATATAATTAATTCACCTAACCTCCACCACTCCTACTGTTTCGAGGACTATTCCGACGACCACTCTTCTCTGGTGATCGTTCCGACAATTTATGCAATATGGTCATTGATTCACAATTTAGTTAGTTACATATTATTTTTCAGTCACAAATAATAATTTTTATACGTCATGGATTATTTTACGGTCATAGTTCAAAAATTTTGTAGGTCACAAATTTCAAAATTAGTTGATCACAGATCAAAATTTAAAGGTCACACGATCACAGATTTTCAAATTAATTGGTCATAGATTTTTTCACGATAATAGATTATATAATTTTTAGGTCAAATATAACAAAATGGTTGGTCACAGATTATATTTTTAGTCATAGATTACCGAATTTTAAGGTCAGATTCTATTTTTAGTCACAGAAAACCAAAATCACCAGATCCGCCAAATTCACCACCTCTGCACTTTCTCCACGACCACTACAAACATATCACACCAGCCTGTCACCAGACTCACCACTATCGCCTGTATCCTACCTAAATCCATTGTGCCACCACCACCATCGTCGACACCTCCACTTGCAAAACCAACAATACCCAACCCACAACCTCACCAACATAACAAACGTCTTCAACGCCTACACGACCATCGCTAGAAACCACCACAGCCACCAGGACCACAACCACAGCCAAAAACACCCTACCAAACACACCCAACAATGCACTACCCAACAACCTCACCAAAATCGCCGCTGATCCGTCATAGCCACCAACACATCTACCTGCTCAACCGACAAAAATACCTAACACTCCCAAACACCACCACCAACACCACAACCATGCCCAACCGCAAAAAAAAAAAAAAGGAAGAACGGTATCAGTCGCCCATCCGCAAAGTCGCCTCCGTCGCGACGTGATGAGTCGCCGCATCAATCAGCGCGATGCTGCTGCGAACGGTAGCGTCGACAGACTGCAGCATCGCGATGCTGCCATTCACAACAGCGTCTGCCGGCAATCGTAGGGGAGTGCCGCCGCTGCTTACAGCGACATCTCCGTCGTGTTCTCCGATGACGACGCGATGAAGGACAATAGAGAGAGAGATGAGAGCGAGAAGGGAGAAGGGAGAGACAAGCGAAAGAGGGTGGGAGGAGACGGTTCTATGGAGATGAATGAGAGAGGGGATTGGAAATTAGGTTTTAATTATTAATTTAATTAAAACCTGATTTTTGATTAAATAAACTTTACACCTGATTTGTGAATTTAGAAACTTAAGCACCTGATTTTTTGTAATTCCCCTAGAAAAATCCTAACTCGGCCTTTCCTCCTCTCACACTCTCTTACTAGCGTATAATAAAATTTCACCATTTTTCAAATCGTCCAAATTTTCATATTCCCAAAATTGGGGCTCTATCTACCGCGGTCTATTTTTAACGCCACAAAACAGGGAACCCATTAATCCATCGTCTCACAATATGCAAAAGAAAAAAGAGAAATTATTTTTTCCAATTCTCATAGGCAGTGTTTGGAGTAATTAGCGATTGCTTACGCTCGAGTTTGGGATTGCTCACACTCCGGTTGCAGATTTATTTTCTTCCTCCATCAGTATTTTCAAATCTAAAAGTTGTTACACGCAAAGGGGACGACAATGGTGCGAGGTAATAGTGGCGGTGGTTGGATGGAGTTTGGGTGTACTAAATTTTTTGGTGGTGATATGCAATTTTGATAATTTTCAATTCTAGATGGTAGGTCGCGATAGTGATGACAATGGAATTGACGTCGATTTTGGTGTACGTAGTAATGCTAATTTGCTCATGTTGATGGGTGACTTGATGGCGTTGGGGTGACATTGATGGTGGTGGTGCATGGGTTAATAAATTGATACAAAAAGTACACATTGTAATAGAGTGTGTGTAATTTTATTGTATTTTTGTTTCCTTGCTCCATTCCCATACCAATCAAGAAGATTGATCCATAACATTTTGTTCAATCAATTCGAACAGTATCAGTATAGATAAGGGCTTTGAAGAATGATCAGTGCAGTTTTCTCTTCTGGAACATTAATTCTGAGCTGGCTAAACCACCCGCCCCAGTACTGTCTGAAAGCATGTACAAATAAATTAATAAATCATGTCCTAAACTTGGAGTTGTAGATCAAAAATTATGCACATTTGAAGTTAGATAGCCGATCAACCTCGAGATTTGCACTTCAAACTCATTAATTGCCCTGCATATTCAAGATTTTCACAGCAAGCTTGAATTTGCTTAGTGTACCGGATTTTTACACAACAAACTCGAGATTTAGAACTCGCCAAAAAAAAATAAAAATAAAATAAAATCGAACAATAACAAGAAACATTAACGAAAAATCAACGTCTATTCCTCTACATTTACGGATTAAATAGTGCCCAACATTTGTCCAACTTAAAAGAAAAAAAGTACATTTTTTGACATTTATATACATGAGGGCTTCAATACACAGAAAATTGCACAAATGTGAACAAAAATTAAATGGGATCAATGTAATAAATGGCCAAAAAAATAAAAAAAACGAAAGAAAGAAGAAGAAGAAGAGAGATATAGAACGAGCTCCAGTGGCGGACCAAGCATTAAAGTTCAGCTCGGACGGACGTTGACCGGTCAACGTCGACAATCAGCGATCGTAAGAACGATATCGTTTATTAATATTTAATTAAATAATATAAAAAATTACTCAATATATATTTAAACGCAGTAGAATGTAAAAATTATATATGTATGAAAGAATAACATAGGAAATATCCCAAAAAAAAGAATAGCAAAAGAAGTCAAAATGCAAACACAATTTACAAAAGAACCAAAAGGCAGTAAAGTATTTAGCATTTAGCAACACATTAATTGGTATTTGGTAATTACCAGTTATAGATTCCAACAAATTATCATATCTATTTGCATAAGCAATTGAATAAAAACAAGTGCTCACAAAAATAAAAATAAAAAATACACGTAAAAGAATCAATTTGCAAAAACGAACCTCAAAGCCCAATCAATCAAACAACAGATTGAAACTTTTCATTTCATATTTCATATAGATAAAAGTTAAATCTTTATTACAACTTTCTCATTTTTCAAAAACCAATTTATTACAGGCTAATAGCTACAGTAAATTAATACCATTAGTAAAAATGTAAAATACATAATCAAATACACATAGCAAAATGCCAAAATCCACAATCAAATACTCACATAAACTAACCTTAATTCTGTTGCGGATTAATGGGAGTCGGAGTCGCACACAATCGCTTCAGCTTCGCCCAGCCACAGCTTCTTCTTCTTCTTCTAATTGGAAATGACGAATTGGGAATTGAGAAATAAGGGTTCACTTTGCCGGTTTTGCCTTTTGGGGTTTGGAATTGGACCATTTCCTCTATTATTGGGCCTACTTTTTTTACACAATAATCAGCCCAGCTGCCCAAGTGCCCAACCTAACTGACCAAATAATAATAATAATAATAACGGCTTCTTCTTCTCGTTATCCTCTCTGGCCTTTTCTCCCTTCCAGTTCCGGCTCTGCAATATTACTCGGCGGCATCAGAGCTCCCGGCGGATCCAGCACGGGCGGCCGCGAGGGCTCGTCAGGTACTGGGTTCGCCACTGACTGGCTCTGATGTTTTTTAAAATCAAGAAACTAAAAGTCATAACTAAAGTATGCAAAACATTGTATTGAGCTCGACTTGAAGATTTCTATATTTTACTATGTCATTCCACAAATAATAATTTATCTAGTTTTTTTTATGGCGAAGGTGGCGGAGTAACAATCTTTATGGTAAGATGTGGGCGAATGACCCCTTGATTTGTAACAGAATCGAGTGAGTGAAACAAATAGATTTTAAAACTCGAGGCAAGAAGAAAGAGTTTCGTGACGCGATTCAATTAAAAGTTTTTATAAAAAATTATTTAGCCAGTTTTATGAAAATTGTACTGTTTCCATGCCTAGTCGGAGGGAAATTTTCGAAAGATAATGGACTCTTGTGCAACATTTTATAAATTTTAAGCATCATAGAATATTAGAAAATTGTCCAAAACTAACTCCTTTCACTGTCAAAAAACCGAAATACTTTAGGGTCCATTTGATTGCAAGAATGAAATTTGGGTGGAAAGAAAATGAATTTCAGGGAATTGAATCATTTAGAACTTGTTTTATTGAAAATTATCCATTAATTGTGGTTGATTGGTATAAAACTTCACTGAAAATATTGAAATTTCGGATATTTTGATGTTTGTTTGGCTTTATTTTCCATGAAAATTATCTATTAAAATGATATAATTTGTTACAATTGGAGATATAATTTGTTTTCATTGTAAAAAAATAAAAAAGAAAAAGAAAAACAGTTGCCTAGAAAAAATCAAGAAAATGTGAGCGCTTAAGTGAAAGATGAAAAATCAATTCTATGAAAAATTTGGACAATCAAACATGCAAAAATGTTCCATCTTCCATGAAATTGAAGTGCAATCAAACTTGTGGTAGACTAATTTTCGAACAATTTTCTTTTGCTCAAACATTTGTTATTTCCCTATCCTTCGTTATTATGCAAGTTGGCATCGGAGGTCGCAACAAAGACGAAAATTGAATTTTCCGCCTCTACAAAATAGTTTTGATACCGCCATAAAGATAAGGCTCTGTTTACCCATGGTAGCGGCGGAGCCTCTGAATTAGGTATCATCAAATTTACTTTGCTCAATATCCCTTGTACTTCTCTCTCAAAGATTTCCCTTTTCTCCAAGGTATATATTACTTGTTTTCTTCATGTATTCAGTTTTGTGGATTTTAATAGCCCATTTGGCTTTTATTCAGGTGGCAAGGTTTTGATTGCTTTGGTGCCCAGAATAAGCAAGGAGAATGGTTTATTTATGGATTCTATTTACAGGGTTTTCCGGAAGGAAACATTGAATTGGTTGGTTTAGAAAATGCCATCTGGGCTGCTTTCAAATCTGAGTACTGCTTTTGGTTTTGGTATTCAAAGGGCATTGAGATTAAAAAAATCTCAATCCTCCCATTTAATTGAATCTTGCTTTCCTCCAAAGAATTCTAGGGCTACTGCACGCGGCTCAACTTGTGAAGTATTAAATTATTCTAGTGTTCGTTGTAATACAGTAGCCATGGCAGCTTCTGGTACCGTAGCTGCCTCAGGAGATCTTATTCTCGATACTTTAGTCTCAGGTTGTGGGAATGTCTTAAGTTTTGCAAAGCCTAGTGGTGTCTATTTTAGTGCTAGGAGCGGTAGGAATTGCAGGAAGGCTTGTGTGAGCAAAAGAACAGTAGCAGCTAATGGCCATAAGGGAGTCCAAGGATATTTTATGTTTGATCTCACGGAAAGGTCGTGCATTTCTAATCCGCCTCTTGCAACATGGTCAAGTAATTTCCGTACATTCTCATCTTCGTATTATTCTGATGGGACTATGCCTGATTTGTCGACTGATGGATCTTCGTGTACTGATGAGCTTATGAGTCTGGCAATTTCAGATGAGAGGTGCCCTTTTTATTTTGTATTTGGTTTGAATTCTTATTTAACAGCTTTGAATTGAGTCTGAATTTGTTAAATACTGATTATAAGTTTTATCTAAAATATTGGCCTGTTCACGTGTCATATTGTAAGATTGCTGTATGAATTATCCAGTTACTGCTTTGGAGCTTTGCATATGTTACTGAATGCTTAGATTTGTACTTTCTACAAATTTAAAATATTCAGCACATATCTTATGGTTCCCAAAGTGCCATATGCATTTTTTTTTTGCTACTAAAGTCTACTCCAAGTTGACTGTTTTTGCCTACACCTGGCTTTCTTCTAATTTCTCAGTTAGCATGAGGCCGTGCTAGATTTTAACTTTTAATTAATTAGAATATGAACATTAGGCAGTGACTATAATCAGGATATTATTTGCTCTATTGTTGTTCAAGGGCATCTGGAGACCGGGTTCGGAAGCTACTTTCCGGAGCATGTTACCTGCCTCATCCAGCTAAAGAAGAAACTGGTGGGGAAGATGCTCATTTCATTTGTGTGGATGAGCAAGTAATTGGAGTTGCCGATGGAGTTGGAGGTTGGGCAGATGTTGGTATTAATGCTGGAGAATATGCTCGTGAACTCATGTCTAATTCTGTGCGAGCAATTCAAGATGAAGCTATTGGTGATCTTGACCCATTGCGCGTGTTGGAAAAAGCGCATGCAAAGACTAAAGCCATGGGTTCCTCAACAGCCTGCATTATTGCCCTCAAAAATCAGGTTTGACAATATTCATACTTTGGCTAGACATGCTTCAGTCTTGACTATGCCTTCTAAGTTTTGTCCCGCATAACTGTAGTCAGAAAATATTAAGAATGTTGAAGAGCAAATTAGCAAAATGCGAGTAATGCAAAAAACAAGAAAATTGAGAGAACACTAGGAAAAATATTGAAGAATGCTACGAATCTGCAGTCTTATAGGATTTGGTGTGACTTTGCTTGGATTGTGAACATGTTATTGTAAACAACATTTAATTTTCAGAAATTCTGTAGCCATTTGTCTGATCAAAATGTAGATACTAGATAGTTAAGGTTGGAACTTGGAGGAGGCGCAGTGCTATGATACTCGCCTTTTCATATATTGTGCATTTTACGCACATTGATTATATACATAAAAGGTAAAGTGTTTAGAGAATTAAGGACTTCTAGATATGGTTGTATAACTAACATTCCTCTTGGAAAAAGCTTGTAGCGGGGGTAAATCTGATAGGTTACTAGTTTGTATACAATTTTAGTGGACAAGTTGGAAATGTATTTCAGTTTTGGACATTAGTACATAAAACATACTCATACTGGAAAGTCCATTCTCATTTTTCATCTTGTATAAAAATAATCTTCATAGGTGCTACAAATCTAGTAAATGCAATATAGGGTCAATCCAAATGAGATATGGTAGAGAAGAAACCTTAAACTACTGCCAATATCAGAAGACTGATTATCACCATTTTCTTAGAAGCAAAGAAAATCACATGTTGAAAATGTCGAGTCACAATACTTGCTGGTCTTTGGAAGATGAGGAAAGTCATCTAGAGCAATGATCTAACTAATTGCCTAGGAACATTATTTATGGATAGGATTTTTTTTTGTAATTATTATTATTATTATTTTAATGTATAATGGACTTGATTGATAAGTTAAATGTCTGACGCACACGTAAAAACTAAAATGTAGATCTTAGACTCCCTAAAGATCTAACATAAATAGTTTGCACTAGCAATCTTTTCAGACATCATATTTACTGACATACACGAATCAACTTCGCATAGAAGTTAGAAAGAGGTTTGAGTGAATACGTTCTGGATATGGTTGAACTTGAAGAATCCAGATGGAAATAAATTATAACATTATGAAAAGGAAAGCAATATAAAGGTCTAAATTTTACTTGAAGTATGGGTGGTTGTAAACTGGCATATCAAAATTGTCCCCTTTCTACTTCGTGGACTTTGATTAATCCATCCATGTTAACTGATGAGCAAAATGTTAGAGAACTCATTTGATTTTTTATTTGTATTAAGGGAGAAGAAATTTTTATTAGGGAACGTGAAATGGTGTTTTTTTCCCTTTTTGTACAATCACTGCAATGAAAATGTTAATGATCTGTTCTTGGAATCTTCATTTGTTCTGCACTATCTAGAAAAATTTCTTAAGAGAATTTCATAATTTGTTTCTGACAGTTGTACTATTATATTTCCCTGAACAGGGTCTAAATGCTATCAATCTTGGAGACAGTGGATTTATCGTGGTCAGAGATGGGCAAACGGTCTTTGAATCACCTGCGCAACAACATAGTTTCAATTTCACATATCAACTTGAAAACGACCCTAGGGGTGATCTACCTAGCTCTGGACAGGTCAGTTGAAGCACCATTTTAATACTTAATAGTACCTCATGACTTGAATTTGGAATTATGGCTTGTGCTAGGGCATCTTGGCTACTTGATTCCCTTACTTTCACTCTGTTCCATATGGGTGGCACCTGTTGGAATGTCACGAAATAAAATCTTTTACAGAAGCAGTAAAATTTTGCAATGATTTACAATTGTTGATGCTTGTTCTTTTTGCTCTGAAAAACTGACCAGTGAAGATTGTTGTCAGGTGTTCACAATTACTGTTGCACCCGGAGATGTGGTGGTTGCAGGAACTGATGGCTTGTTTGATAACTTGTATAATAAGGAGATAGCAGCTGTTGTGGCAGATGCAACCAAAGATAGCCTTAGCCCAGATGCTACAGCACAGAAGATTGCAGCTTTTGCACGCCTACGAGCTTTGGACAGGAATCGGCAAACTCCATTCTCTACTGCAGCACAAGAAGCTGGATATTCTTATTATGGCGGTAAACTTGATGACCTCACCGTTGTTGTCTCTTATGTCTCTGTTTAAACTAGTGCACGACAATTTTGCTCATGTGGATCGTCTCTGTATCTCAATATTCCAACTTCATTTAATTTTGTCTCCCACTACATATTTGATGAGTTCCTATGAAGTACCTTATCCATTTGTTTAAAGATTCATATGTTGTGCCTAATGATCTTTTCTTCTCCCTTGCTCCACCGAGTTGGACACTTTCCCCATTACATATGAGAGAACCAAAGCATTAGTGAACAGGACAGTTGATTGCATAGAAAGGTTAGGCTCAATCAGTTTCTTGATTATAATATTGTTTGATTTGTCATCTTTTATTATCAAAAGGATCCGCAGTACTTTAATGAGAATGCATAAAGTAGTCTTCATTGAAATGCTCTCCCTTACCATCTTCTCTGTCATCGCTCCACCTTGAATATGGGATTTCTCAGTTTAAAAGAGTTCAGGTTTCAGTCAGCTTTTCCATGAAAGTTCACTACATAGTTGACATTCAAGACAGAATTGTACTGGACACTACAAGAAAATTTTCGACTTAAAACATAAAAATTATGAATTGGGAATTTAGATGAGATACATAGCGGTCAAGTGAAATTTAATTCTTCGCACGGTCATGCTATAAAATGAAATTCAACACGTGGTCCATTCAATACATAACAAGTGTACTAGTATCACCTTTAACAATTTATGTGATAAGGACAAATTACAAACTCGAATAGTGAATCCGACAACATTATAACCTTCCGGTATAAGGTGTCAATCCTTATACATTGGTTGTGAACAAATGATTTATGAACAAGAAAATTTTCGACTTATGTATCAGGAATTTGTGTGAACCCTAAAACTCAAAAATTGAATGCAAGAAACTTTCCGGCAATACTGTAATATGAGTAGTTAGAGCTCTGGTGAAAATAATAGAAAATGAATATAGGAGCTAGACTAAGTCCAGTCATTGCTATTATATGAAGATGCAAAACTGTGCCAAGCATCTGGATAATTTGGAATGCAACATGGCCAATTTCCTATTAGCTTGTGCAAAGAGTTTGACTAACACCTGGAAATCGCAATAAGCCAAAAGAGAGACATTTCACGAGCTCCTGTTCTGTGGTGTGGTGGCAGTACCGCTAGGGAAGTGGCTTCGGGTGTGAATGATTGTAGGAAGGTGCATAAACCAAGTTCATAAGCAAAATGTTTATTATTACAAAAGTTTATTGCTCCATGTACATTAACTGAAACTGCAATGGAAAGGATTTGCAGAGAAAAAAAGAAGGGAAAAAGAAGAGAGATTTTCTCAGCCATGGCTAAATATTTTCACCCTGAAACTGAAATTACACAGTAATGGGATTTGATTTGAGTTCTAGTTAATAACGAGGCAAGGGATGAAGAGTGAGTGAGCTGTTGCAAGAGGAGACTTTTTTTGGCAGTTTAGTTTGTGTTTGACTTTTGGCCCAGAAAAACTTCACGAAGTGAAGATGGGCCTGTACCCCATGACACATTGACACAAATACCACCAATTCTCGCTAGGCTACTCCAGTTTTGTAGATTTTCATATCAGACGTTCCTTCGGCCGGCCAAAATTAACATGATGTGTTGTGATTATTAATATCTAATTACTTTAATCTTTTCAATAAATTTAGTAATGAAAATATTAGAATGACGAAAAAAAGTTCACATAACCAACTCCAAAAGAATTCTTGATCCTTGGAAAATAAATTTCCTCGTATATTTCTTTAAACTCACAATCAAATACTATCGATAATTGGTTCCGTTCAATGTTATTTGTGTCAATTGCGAATAGGGGCTTTAGACGAAGTGGACTGTTACTAGGAGAGATGCGACCTTTGCAAATGAAGTGACGCACTAGTTATAAAACAATTAAGCTTTTGTTAGTAGGGAATAAAATCTAGACTTTAATTTGAGTCAAAATAAAAAATTTATTTTAACAATTTATTTTATTGGACCCACAACTTTTTAACTACATATTTTATTAATAAAATCAAAATCTACTAAATATCTGATTTTAATATCTATCAAATAGGGGCTAACTTCAAATTACAAACGACAACTAAACTAGATCTAATGAGCCTTAATCGATCCAACTCGATGATCGCAAAATTCTACTTAATCAAATCAAGAATCGTAAACAATATACTGTTGGAATGTGAAAGCGGAATTATCTAGAAATTTAAAAAAATTCTTTACTTTAATAAATAAGATCGTCTGGATGTTCACGTGTATGTTATATCAAGAATAAATTATTCGAATTTTTATCTAAATTCGATGATTAATTTTTGAATTAATTCTGAATCACGAGTTTCTAATTTTTTGGATCACAAACTTATAGCTTTTAATTGTAAGAACTTGATGCTTCAAACTTTCAAATCTTCAATAGTATCCTTCAAAGTCAAGATTACATCGGTGAGTAAGCACATTTTTTTAATTAAATAAAAAAACTAATTCTTGGATTGGCCAAAAGAAAATATGATATTTCTCACTTTTTTTTCTCTCCAAATTTGAACACTATTGAATTGTGTATTATGATTGTTGTAGGATTTTTATATCCATTTAATTTTTATTTATAGAGATAAAAGAAGTTTCAATCCATGTAGAATAGTAATTCCAATATCATATAGAAGTTTTAATTAAAATCCAAGTAAGAGTTTTAATTAAAGTCCAAAATCAATTAGTTTACATTTAATTATATGTGTAGCCCTAGAACTTCAATTACAATTATAATTAACTTTGCAACTTTTATAGTAATTAGAAGTAAGCACAAAACTTTATTGTAATTACAATTAAGTCCAAAACTATTATAATTACGTAATTAAATTCAATTAGTTTATAGAGCTACCACATGGACCTAATCGGACATATATTATCCGAGCTCCAATAATTAGACATTGTCTCGTCGACACTAGATCATTCAATCTAATTATTAGTCTTTACATTTTCTACAAAAGGCAAAAGATTGAACTCTCGAAATATTTAAGATCATAGAAACCAATGAATCTGTAACACTTTCATTTAACTTGCCGTATACATATTTTATCCTCGTCCGAGATTTGATAATTAGGTACGAGCATAAATGACCGTTTTGCCCATCTAATTATTCTCACTAACTTAAGTGCTATTTTCCTCAACGGTCCTGTGAACAAATCACAGATGTCGAAATTTAGTCGTCGCTAAACACTGAACTCATATTTTAACCGTTCAATAGAAAATACATAAGTAGTCACTCTACCCATTTTTTTACGGCAACGGTTCCCGACATGAATTCATGTTCTCTATTCCACTCATTCTCAAGTTCCTAACTCATCGAGATATTTAACGAATCAAATTAATCTCACTCATTGATGAATCAAAAATCATTAAAATCACGAAAATATATAATAACTCTGTCAAGGAATTTATATGAGATACATAGCGGTCAAGTGAAATTTAATTCTTCACACGGTCATGCTATAAAATTAAACTTGACACGTGGTCCGTTCAATACATTCCAAGTGTACTAGTATCACATTTAACAATTTATGTGATAAAGACAAATTACAAACTCGAATAGTGAATCAAACAACACTATAACCTTCTGGTATAAGGTGACAACATTTGTACATTGATTGTGAACAAATGATTTATGATTAAAATATAAGTTAAGTCACGCTGTACTTTTCAACGCAAGTATCCAACTTATATCATCACAAGTGATTATAGGCACTTTAATTCTCATGCTCGATAATAAATAAAATAAAAAATAATTTTATTTAATATAAAAATATTGTTATTTTTTTCCATCAACAAAACTATACTATATAGGCAGACAACCCAACATATACATTTGATGATACGCAAGATACCCTTAGTTGGCATGCCCTATTCACTTTTAAATTAATAAGTTTTTTGCTTTTGCTTTTTTAATTCTCTCACAAATCTTTTTATGAATGATATTAATCAGAATCTCAAAGCCATCAAATCTCCCTTTTGTATGCTACAAGCTCTCTCTTTCCCCCCCGCGTTTGTCCCGTGTATTTACAAACCTTAACCCCTAAGTACTTCACTTTAATAATTAATATTCCCCTTAATTATTTAAGGCTTTTCGACAGAGGTTTGTCTTGTTACATCATTGGTGTCAAATCATATAATCTAAGACACGCA